ACTGTCTCTGCTCGAGTTTTCTCACTTTCCCTCTGGCAAAACAAATAAAATAAAATAAAATAAAATAAAATAAAATAAAATAAAATAAAATAAAATAAAATAAAGTAAAATAAAATAAAAAGGGCAGGGCCATTGGGGAGTGACTGGGCACCAGCTGGGCCACCATGCTGAGTTGGGGTGGGTCTCCAGGAGGGAGGGGACCACAGAGACACATGCTCTGCTCTCTCACCAAGTGACGCCTGTGCCACCTCGGGGCTCTGCAGGGAGCCCCTCCAGCGGTGAGACCCCCACCAGATGTTGCCTCTTGACCTTGCACTGCCAAAACCGTGAACTAAATAGACCTCTATTTGCTTATTACTAATATAATAATATTATAATCATATATAGGTTTATATTATATATATAATATAAATGACCTAATCTGAGGTATTCAGTTGTTCATACTAAATAAGTAAATAAATAAAACACTAAAATAGGGACTCTCCCGTTTACGACAAGGAAGGGCAGGCTGTTGTGACCAAGCGCACAGCCCAGCAGCTGGGAGCCTTGAACATGGGTGATCTGGGACTTGCTTAACTTCTCAGGGCCTGATTCCCCAGCTGTGGAAACCAGGATCACACCACCTTCCCTCCTGGGGTCGGGACCCTCTTTGAGAAGCACACACCTGGCTCAGTCAACCCTCAGGACCTGGCAGTGGCCACTGAGGCTCTGTTAATAACAGCAAGAGCTGCCCAAGAAGACCTCGAGGCCAGACCTCGGCCACTTCTAGGTATAGGTACTGGGGCTTCCACTGCCCCTCGTATCCCCCTCGTCTGGGGCTCTCTACAGTTGCCCCAGCTCAAATGCCACCTCTTCCAGGAAGCTTTCCCTGCTGTCTCCAGCCAGAAGCCCTTCTCCTTCCTCTAAGTAAATACCCCTACACTTGGCCTTCAGCTCCCCTGGAGCACTGGCCAGTCAGAGGATGGCTACGAAAAGACCAGACGTGGGCCCTATCAGGTGCCAGCCCAGACAGTTTCTCATTTAACCCTGACAACACATTGGCAACTGTATTACCAGGTCTACTTACAGAGGGGAAACCGAGGCTCCCAGCGGTTATACAAGCTGCCTGAGTGAGGCAGGGTGGACTTGGTTGTGCAGTCGCTGAGGGCAGGGTGAGGCAGCTTACTCACCACCAACCGTGCCACTCTGATGCTAAAGGGCCCCTCCCCGCCTGCTGCCACCCTGGGTCTCCGCTTACCTGGCCCATGGGGCCATCTTCAAAGCTAGTTTGCGGTTGATGCAGAAGCCGGCGCCCCCGGTCGCAAACCAGAATTGTACCAGCCTCTGGTGGGGAGGAGAGCCAGGGAGAGCCGGGTGAGCCGGGGCGGGGGCACAGCCAGGTCAACTTCGCCCCAAGCAGCAGGGCTCCGACACTTTATTTCACACCTCACTGGAGTCCGGCAAGTCTAGATACAGCCTGCATTATTATGCCCATTTTACAGATAGGAAAACCGAGGCTCAGAGGCGCCCAGCTAACTAGGAGCTAACCAGACCCAGATCCAGCACGGCTCTGGTTAAAGTACACATGTGCTGGTGCCAGGTGGTTAAAGTGTTGGACTCGCACATAACTAACCACAGTTCAAGTCTCGGACCCATGGCTTGAAAATCACACCCGGTATGTGTGCATGCGTGCCCAAGAGCCTGAGAGGAAAATGAAGAAGGGATTGTAGCGTGGCCTTTTGCCAGGCGGTGGGTTATTTCTCACTGTCTCTATCTCCAGAGAGCACACACCCAAAACAAGACATGGGTTACTTATCCACCCAGAACCACCTCCCCCTCCCCCCAGAGAAATGTCTCTGCCTTACTCCGGCGGGATGGGGACGGGCTGTCAAACTCAGCGCCTGCTCCCAAGGTTAGAGGTGGGCAGTGCCTCTGGCCATACCGCTTGACCCAGTGCTGAGCTCAGCAACAGGCACATGACTTAGGTCGACCAATCAGAGTCCTTCCCTGAGCACTCTGTGCTGACCACGAGAAAGAGATGCTCTCTGTGGGGTCACAGGCTAGGGAGCGATGGCCCTACCGTCTACACTGGCCTCCTGAACCACATGAGCTCTTCTGCCAAAGGAGAGGATGAGGCCTCTCGTGAAGTAAAGAGGGCAGACAGGCCTGTGGCCCCTGAGGCTGGAGAAGCCCTGGGTGGCTCGGTGGCAGGAATCCAGAACATCCTTTCTGGGTCTGAGACACCTTCTGCCCCCACCCAACATCTCCACGGCCCAAAGACTAGCCCCGGTCTGTAAGGACCTGTGAACTCACCCACGAATTTCTCTAAGGCTCCTGGGAAACCGCCCCGTCGGCTGTACTGTCTCTTAGTCTAAAGATTCCCTAGGGTTCCTTCCTTCCGGGTCCACAGTGGGTGTCTAATTGACGCATGCTGCCCTGGACTGAGTTACCGTCCATGAAGCCACAGGGAGAGTTAGGCAGCCTGACTGCAAGGTCTCTGCAGCCTCCTCCTCTGCACGTCCCTTCCTCGCTGAGCCTCAGATCTGTCCCTGTGAGCACAGAGCTGCTCCAGCTGAAAGCCGCCGTTGTCTGTGAGCAGCGACTTCCCAGAGAGGTTGTCCCCTTCTAGAGCAGCCAGGGGCTCACAGCCAGAGTGAGGGGCTCCTGATGGCCTGACATATAGCCAGTGCCCCGTAAATGCTTGTCCAACGGGCCAACCCGACTGCGGGCTGTCACTCCCGCAGAGACAGCAGCCATAGCGAAGTGCCTAGCCCTGAGCCTGACAGCACCAAGCCCTGCTCTAGGGGCCGTGCAGACCAGGTGACCAAGGCCACCTGCCTAAGGTCCCAAAGCTCTAGTCCCCTTTGCTGCCCCACTCTGGGTGACTCAGGGTCTGAGCAAGCCTGGACACTTTGGGTTCTGCCATACTCCAGGGCCCTGGGACCCCACTTTGGAGGTGTGTGCACAGGAGGGGATCCGTGCATGTTGTGGAGGACAGGCCTGGTGGGCCTGCCATGGCACGATGACGGCTGAGCTGAGTCGACACTGACTGCTAATCTTGCTGGAATGGCCGGGCCACTCCACTCCAGGGCACAAAGCCAGGGGGCGGCTGGAGGGATGCAGGGAGGTTCTAGGGTGGCAACTGCCCAGCAGGGGAAGTGGCCAGGGGCTGACCTGGCTCACCTGGACCTCACACACACCCCAGGGCCCAGGAGGACTTAATTAGGGCTCAGAGGTTGATTAACTGCTGCTAATTAAGGCTTTGCGTTTGGGGCTCCAGATTTCCCTAATGAAGCAGACTGCGACCAGGGAGGATAGCGAACTCCCCAAGCAGCAAGCACCGACACCCAGGAGGGGACTCCTTGCCTGCCTTTGCCCTGGGCTGAGGGACTCGAGGGCCTGGGTCACCCCTACACCTGAAGCCGGTGGGTCCTAGGGACGGGGGACCATGCAACTTGGGACATGCTTATACTAAAAATTCTTGCTTTTCTGCAGGTCGGACTTGGCTGGTGTCCTGAGGTTAGTTCACTGCGTCTGGATCAGGCAGCCCTGATCAGCATCGTCCAGCCCCGAAGTTGAAGCTGGTCCTAAGGCTCCCTGTGTCAAGGCTGTAGCTGCTGCTTAGTGAGCAGTCTGGGGAGAGGGGGTGCCCGAGGGCAGGGAGTGTTCTGGGGCTCGGAGCAGCAGCCATGGGTGACGAGCCCAGCAGTGCCCCACATCCCACATTTCAGCAACACCCTGTGCCACCGTGTGGCGATGCCAGGCGGCTGGGAACACTGCCACCGTGCCAGGAGCCTCAGAGCACCTGCATGCCCACTGGGTGACCAGGAGCACCCCTGCTCCTGGGTGACTGAGGCCTCCCTGGGTGCCCGTCCGGGTGCCTTGTCCACATTATCTCAATCCCCCATTTCACAGAGGGGAGCCTGCAGCTCAAGGAAGCGAAGACGCTGCCCAGACCCACTGAGCCTGCCCACCGTTTGCAGCACACACCCTCTCCAGGGATGCCCCCACCTGCCTGGCCCGTGGGTGAGGAGGACCGGGGAGGCACTGACCGTGCGGTTGCGGGGCTGCGGCTCGGAGGCGTGGATGGGCCGGTTCAAGCTGGGCCTGCCCACGTAGACGTCCTGGGCCCGCGGGAAGGCGCTCAGCAGCTGCAGCAGCGCGCCAGGGTTCACGTAGTTGTCGTCATCCACGTGGCAGAACCAGCTGCAGGGTGGGACGACAGCATGGAGCCAGCCTGGGCGCCCTGCACCCACAGCCGGGCAAGGTGCAGGGTGCGGTGGGCGGCACAGCTCAGGCACCTGTTCTGTGCCAGGCAGCACCTTGTGAGAAAGGTAGTGAGGACCCAGACTCTGACAGGGTGGGACACTTGCCCAAGGCCACGGAGCGGGGGGTAATCTGCCCAGCACTACACACAGCTAGGTGGGCGGGGGTGGAGTTGGCCCCCAGGGATCCTGGGGCTCCAGCTGGTTAGATTCCCTGGCCAGGACACTTCAGTCTGGACACAAGACTTAATTCAGGAGGTGGCCAGGGACCAAGAACACTCACCGAAGCCCGCTGGCCAAGAAGGTGTCAAACTCAGCAGCCATCTTGCAGGACAAGGCTGGGTGGCTGTGCTCTGTGGAGCAGTTGGTGACCACAAGGTGAGACCCTGGAGAAGCAGGAGCGTGAGGAAGCACAGCCAGGCGGGGCACAGTGGGCTGCAGGGGTCCCACTCCCCTGGCCACACAAAGCCCAGGGAGGGTGGCCTGCCTGAGACCACGGAGCGAGGGGCCTCGGCTGGGCTGCGACTCAGCCACCAGGATTTCCAGGCACGGTCCCCGTCGGCACACCTGTTTCCAAAGAAGCCTGCTCTGCTCCCAGGCAAAGGGGTATCCCCACGTGCCAAGGGTGGGCAGCTCTGCTTCCCAGGAACGCTCTGGCCAGGACACAGCCGCACCCCTCCCCAGTTTTCCCTGGCAACAGCGTGGCCCGTCCCCAGCAGGCAGACTTACCCAGTCTCTCCCAGAGGCTGTGGTCTGGGCTGTCAGTGAAGACGAACGTCTGGGGAAGAGAAGGGGCGGTCAGGACTCAGGTCTGACAGGGGTGGACCCCATGGCCGCGCCCGGGTGCTTACACACACAGCAGCCTCTGTGCTCCTCCGATGACGGGCACGCACCCCGCAGGACATACGACAGACACCCAGCTCTTACAGACTCACAACTGAGGTGGGCACAGGTCTCGCAGATGCCGCCCCTTCACAGAGCAGCCCCAGGGCGCACACGGATGCACGCCCCAACTACAACCACATACAACCTAAACCCTCTGCCAGGAGACGACGCCGAAAGGACCCACGCCACCCCTGGGACGGCATCAGCTAGGGAGACGGTCGCGCCTTTGTGGCCACACGAGGAGGCCCTGCAGCGCCTCCACACTTTTGTCGCAGCCTGGACACCCGCCCGCCAAGAGCATTTGCACACCTGGGGTCCCCAAAGACCCTCTCTCATGCTCACGAGGCAGGTGCTGTGGCCTGCCCCCTTCACAGATGGCAAAACCGAGGCGGATGTTGGGCCATGGCTGACGAGGACTGAGCTGGGAAGACAGCCCATCAGTCTAGGGCCTCTGCTCACCACCCCCGGGGCCAAGGTGCCGTTCAACCTGGAAGCAAACTGAACGCAAACTGAGAGGCAGAAACCAGCCCTGCAGCGGCGGCAAGAGGAGACGCGTGACCAGCGGACCCATGCCTTCCTCAGGTCCCAAGGATGGCCTCACCCCTTCCACGCCCAGCCCTCGGGTCCCAAGGATGGCCTCACCCCTTCCACGCCCAGTCCTCAAACAGATCCTCCTCTCCACTGAGCACTTGGGGGCCCAGGGTCTCCCCAACCTGGGCTGCCTCCTGGGCCTGAAACCGCTGTAGACTCCTGCCAAGTGAAGACAAGGAGAGAGGTCCCCCGTGTGAAGGCCCTGGAGCCCTCGCCCCCTGCTGGGACCACGCCCGCGGCCTAAGCCCATCCTCCAGGCGCAGGGCCTCCGCTGCAATGCCCCTCTCTGCTAAGCCACAAGCCTTGCCCTCCTTTCTAGGAATCAGCCCTTCAGAGCAGAACAACCGCTGCCTCGAGCCTCAGTTTACTCAACTGGAAAATGGGGCGAGTGAGAGTAAAATGAGATTGTGTATAAAATAACAAGGGTGGGGACCAGCAGAGGGCGTAGCAGTTACATCGCTGGACTCCTACGTTGCCGACAGTGGTTCGAGTCTCAGACCCGGCAGCTTAAAACTCACACTGGGCATGTGGGCACATGTGCCCAAAATCCCAAGAGGAGAATGGAGAGGAAAGGATTGTGGCATGGCCATCCCCCTGGGGGGATGATTTCTCACGTTCTGTCTCTGTCTCTCTGGCAAGTGCACATGCCCTATAGCAAAAATCTCTCTAAAAATAAATTATTTAATTTAATTTATTAGCATCATTATTATTTTTTAATTTGACCAGAGAGAGAGAGACAGAGAAAGAGAGGGAAAGTGAGAAAACAAGCCAGCAGGTCTGGGACTCGAACCGTGGTTGGCCGTGTGGCAGTCCAGACCTCGACCACCACATTACCTTCCAGCCCCATGTCCTTGTTATTTTATTCTTTTTTCTAGAGGGATTTTTGCTATATAAATAAATAAATAAATAAAAATAAAACAAGGAAGAGTTCACAGCAAGGCCCAGCTTCTTGTATCTCAGGGGAAACTGAGGCATGGGAGGCCAGGAGGCCAGAGTCAGGCTTGGAAAGGGCAGGAGGGAACCAGGCCTGCCTCCCAAGGCGCCGGTCCCAGGCCTGCTTCTGAGTCGGGGTTCAGTGGATTACTGCAGACTCCCTCCCTCCCTCAGACCTGTTTCCCTGTCAGACTTAGATCACACCCCACCCACCACTTCCTCCACCAGCACCTGTGGCTCCCTATTCCCCTCGAGAAAGAAGCCAGCCTCCAGTGTGCTCAGAGAGGGGCCAGCTGGCCGTGCGGCCTGCTGCAGCCTAATCTCATTACTCTCTGTCCCACCCTGGGGACTCTTAGCTGAATTTCTTTCAGTTCCCCAAATATGCCATATACATGTGCAAGCAGACACGCACACACACATGCCTCTGAGCCTTTGCAGAAGCTGTGACCTCTTCCTACCCTCTAATGCCCAACTCAGACAGTACCTCCTCCAGGAAGCCTCCCCAGGCCCCTCCAGCTACTTTAGGGCCCCTCTCTGTGACCTTCAGCCTCCTCCCAGTTCCTCCTCTGGTAACAGCAGCCTTTCTTTACAGACACATCTCTGGTCTCTCCTCAGACATCTGCAGGGCACAGGCCTGGTCTCATTTCCTCCTTGTCCCAGCACCCGGCTCTCCTTGGGAAGGCCTGGGGCACCCACCTTCTCAGCCCCTCTCCCTGGAGTCGGTCATCCGCTATCAGATTTAGCTAATGCTGGAGTCCCTGAACTTCTGTGGGGAGACGTCAGCAGCCCAAGCCCGAGCCCTGGGCCTCTTCCCCCTGCCTCTCCCTCACCCAGGGATTTCACCCAGCCTGTGCCTTGAACGCCTTTAGGAGGGACAGCGGATGGTGTCATGGTAACGTCACTGGACTCCCACATAGTCGACTGTGGTTCAAGTCCCAGACCTGGCAGTTGAAAACATGCTGGGTGGGGTTGGCAGGTGGCATGGTGGTTAAGGCACTGGACTCTCACCTGGCCAACTGCAGTTTGAGTCCCAGACCTAGCGACTTGCTTTCTCACTTTCTCTCTCTCTCTCTCAGTATCTCTCTGGTCAAATAAAAAATAATAGTAAAGAAAGAAAATTAAAAGAAAAAAATGTAAGGGGACCAGCAGGTGGCATGGTGGTGAAGGCACTGGACACTCCCACATGGCCGACCAGGGTTCGAGTCCTGAATCTGGTGGCTTGCTTTCTCACTTTTTTTTTCTCTCTCTCTTTCTGTGTCTCTCTCTGGTTAAATTAAAATAAATGAATGAATAAATAAAACATGCAGGGTGCATGTGCGTGCGTGTCCAAGACCCCAAGAGGAGAATGGAGAAGGGATTGCAATGTGGCCATCCCCCACAGGGGGTGATTTCACGCTTTCTGTCTCTCTGCCTCTGTCTCTCTGGTGAATGCACGCCTCATAGTAAAAATCTCTCTTTTAAAAAAAGCAAAAAAGAATGAACACCACCAGGAGGCTGGGCACGGTCACGTTTCCCCTCTGCCCTGAGCGCCAAGCTCTCAGATCCCCTACAGCTGTGGCTTCTGGGGGTGGGGAGCACCAAAGATAGAGACTGAGCCCCTGTACACAGCGGCCTGTCCCTCTCTCCCATCGGCTTTCCAGCTATGGGGCCTGGGACGTGGGTCACCCATGCCTCCCCACACCCAGACTGTTAGCCCAGTCCATCCTCCAACTTCCAAGGCTTGGGATTTGGCCTCCTCCCTAGAGCCTCCAGGGAGCCCCTGGGCCCAACACCACGGGCCCCTCTCATTTTGCTGCAGGAGCCTGTTCTGCCCCCCGACCCCCACCCCGGCCTGTTTTCAAGCCAGTCCCGGAGAGGCTGGAAATAAACCAGGCCCCTCTCACCCTTTTGCCACCAAACCAGACAGTGGAACTCGAGTTTGGAGCACGAGTCAGATGAGCTGGGGGGTGAGCTGGGGTGTTTGTAGATGAGCTGGTAAGCCCAGGGCGGGACAGCCGGGCAGTGGTGAACTGTGACACTCGGCACGGCTCCCCCGTGGGAAGGTTCACGTTTACATCAGAGACCTCCACACGTGTGTGCCCATGCTGGGGGCTGGTGGAGGCTGGGAGTGGGACGCAGCTTCAAACCCTGCTGAGGGTGCGGGCTGTCGGTCTCTGTATCTCTTGCTCATGGAAGAAACAAATGAAGAAACTTTTTGTTTTGTTTTGTCTTGTTTTGTTTTGTTTGCTATAGGGCACGTGTGTGCCTGAGAGAGAGAAATCGCCCCCAAGGAGGGATGCCCGTGCCGCAATCCCTTCTCCATTCTCCTCTCTGGATTTTGGGCACACACACACATGTGCCCGGTGTGATTTTCAAGCCACCAGGCCTGGGACACAAATTGCAGTTGGTCATGTGGGAGTCCAACGCCTTAACCACCACACCACCTGCTGGCCACAAGAAGCTTCAAAAAAGAAATAAAAAAGAACTAGTAAGTGAATAATTTGGGCGGAGTGAGGGGGAGAGGGTGAGTCCAGGTGAGTCCCTGACTGTGGTAGGGGAGGCAGGACAGGGCACAGGAGGCTGGTGGTTTCAAATCCTGGAACCCTGAGGCTGCTGCAGAGTGCTGGCCAGTTTCCTCGGCCCAGGGCTTAGGGCCGCACTGGATTTGTTTAAGGAGGGGACCCTGACAATGGTTAAAACTTCAGAGGCTTCTAAAAACAAAGGGGCAGGCAGCCTGCTGGGGCCGGAGAGGGGGTGGCTGGGGACCATCTGCTGCAGGGGAGGAGAGATGTGGGGCCGCTGCCACCGCTCCCCCTCCCGTCTGCACACAAGGGCAGAGAAAGGCTCCCCTCGCACAAAACACGCCTGCCTCCCCCAGCCCACCCGCTCTGGCTGGGACAAAGGCCAACACACGAGCCCAGCCTGCTCCCACAAAGGCCCACCTGCCACCGACCGCCCTTAACCAGCGGGGCGGGCGCCCAGTGCTGCAGTTAACCAGCTCAGACCCGATCCAGACACTTGTCCTGTGCAGATGGGGACCGAGGGCTGAAAGGGAAGGGCTTTGGCCATAGTCACAGGGTAAACGAGCCAAAGGCTGAGAGGCAGTGGGATGGCAAGAGGGGGCCTCCTCGTCCCCCCATCTCATCCTCCTTCCAAGCATCCTTTCTTCTTTCAGCTTGAGGGACCAGATCTCTGGGGTCCAGGCAAGTGAGATCTCTGTACACCTGTGCTGGGATGGAATACCCAGCACGGGGCTGTGGGAGGGTTAAACGGAGTGGTGTGACCAATGCCAACCCTGGGGTGCCGAGCAGCCAGCATGTGCCCTCTGAGCCCAGCTGCCTGGCATCCAGGAACGGAGTGCGGGACCCACAGGAGGTCTCTCCTTGCCTCTCTTACCAGCCTGGTACTGCCAGGCCCAGTCACCCAGACTGGAGGTCCAGGGACCCTCTCCTGCAGCCCGGTGGCCCGACGCTCTGTGCTCCCTCTGAGGGTTGAAGAGAGAAGGAAGACAGCCAGGCAGGAGGAGGGGGCTGATCCCCTTCGGGCCTTCTGAGTTAGGCTGGCCACAGCTTCCTGCTCTCTGGTCTCAGTCTCCTCATCAGGCAAGGGCACCACCATGCTGATCAAGACAAAACAGGAAGGGCCCCGGCCCGCTTGAGGCCGCGCTCCCGGGCACACTCAGACACAGCGCCACAAACAGGAAGGTCTGCAGGGAGGGCCTGCCCCTGTGGCTTCCGAGGGCGGGACCAGAATCTCCCTGAGATGAGAAGCTGCATGGGGCCCCAGGGAAGAGCTGGGCTGCTGGGAGCCGAAGTGCCAGGAGATCAGGGTGGGTGCACCCCCAGGAGGTCCTGGCCTCTCCCCAGTACTACCTACTCCTGTCTGTGACCTCACGGGGGGAGCCCCTTAACACCCCCAGAGGCTCTTTCACTTTCTCCCCTGAGTCAGCTGCCAGTGTGGGGCTGGAGCTGGGGGGGGGGCTGTGTGTACGCATCCCCCTCGGCCCCTCCTGGAGACTGTCCCCAAGCTCCCAAATCACAAACTTTGCTCAAGAAGGAAGGGGACACCAATGGTCAGAGCTGCCCTGGGAAAGGCAGGAGCCACACACCCGTTGCAGGACGTCCAATACTCACCTTCAGCTCCGTGACTGTGGGCACGGTACACACACACCAGCACACACTCAGGCCTCCCCACGCCCTGCCCACCACGGCCTCAGCTCAGTCTCACACCCCTCCTCCGCACCCCTCCCTGAGAAGCAGCCCCACAGGAAGCCAACACAGGAGGGCAGTGAAAGGCCTGCCCCCCAGCACCTGGCTCCCCAGGTCCCCTGTTCTCCTGCTCTCCTGGCTTCCCTGGCTCCTGGCTCTCCGGCTTCTAGCTGCCCAGCTTCCGGGCACAGAGTTGTCAGGAAGCCTGAAAGCACCTCCCTGCCTCCCAAGCAGGCCCCACCTAGACCTTCTACCTCCTCTGCTGCTCAGCCCACGGAGCCAGGGCAAAGGACATGCCTAAGGGCCGATCCGGGGGCCCAGCACCCCATTGCTGCCAATGCCAGGCCAGGGTGGGCAGGACGGTATAGAGGGATGGCCAGGAGGAACCTGGGTGCCTGGGGCAAAAAACCAGACGGCCTGGTGGGCCTGAGGACTCCTGGACTCAGGCATGAGAGGCATGAGGGGCACAGACGCCTGGCAGCCCCTGCCGCCCAGAGGAGAAGAGCGGGGAGCTCAGACTGGGCAGGAGGCAGCTCCTCCCTGCAGCAGCCAGGAGCCCCAACCCAAGAAAAAGGCCTTCCTGAGCCCCTGGGCCGGCCCACGCCCAGGGCCTAACATCACCCACTGGTCACCTGGTCCCTGGTCCTGGAAACCCATGTGTCCAGCAGCAGCTCCAGGCGCGAGCGGTGGAAGGCCCGGGTTGTCTTGACTGCGATGAAGACGTCCTGCAGCCGCAGCTCAGGAGGATCAGGGGTCACCTGTAACCCCTGGCGGGACAGGCTCGTGTGGTACCGTAGGGACAGGAGTCCGGTGCACAGGAGGGTGAGGAAGGCTCCAGCCAGGACGCGGAGGAGCCGGCACTGCATTGGCCCCGGGACCCCAGACAGCTCAGCCCCCAAATCCCAGCCTGACGGGGAGGGCAGGCTGGTCAGACAGGGGCCCCGACACAGGCAGAAGTCTGGCTGGCATCGGGGACAGGCAGGGACGGAAGAGGTGGGAGCTGGGGCTCTGGGTCCCCAGGCTGAGCCATGGCAGCGGCAGCCCTCCACCCTCCGGTCCTCCCGCCGCCGGCTCCGGGGCGGCTGCCCGCCCCGGCCCCGCCCCCGCCTCGGCCCGAGGGGCGGGGCCAGACGGAGGGAGCCCCAGAGGTGGCTGGAAGGGAGGCGCGGCCAGCCCCGCCCGCTGCTGCAGCGGGGGTGGAGGCAAACTAAAGCCCCTCTTTTCCCACCTCTCACATTCTCCTGAGACGTCTCCGTCTCACACCACCCTCACCCAGCTTTCTCCACCAGATTGCATTCTTTTTGGACTTTAAGGCGAGGGGCGGGGCCAGACGGAGGGAGCCCCAGAGGTGGCTGGAAGGGAGGCGCGGCCAGCCCCGCCCGCTGCTGCAGCGGGGGTGGAGGCAAACTAAAGCCCCTCTTTTCCCACCTCTCACATTCTCCTGAGACGTCTCCGTCTCACACCACCCTCACCCAGCTTTCTCCACCAGATTGCATTCTTTTTGGACTTTAAGGCTCAGTACAAGGGCTTCCTTCTCCAGGAAGCCTTCCTTAATGCCCCTCCAAACCTCTGGGGCTCCCACTGCAGTGTGTAGGGTCCTTTCAGCAGCACCAAGATTCGCACTCCCAGTTTATACCCGAAGGGCTTTGGCAACTGCCACAGAGCCGGTGGAACCCAGGTCTCTCCCTGCCTGGCCCGCCGAGGCCTTGCGGTGCCTGCCCAGCTGTGCCACGCCATGCCGGGCTCACTGGGCAGCTCTGCAGTGAGGCCAGTGGACAGCAGGACTTTCCCCGCCACCACCCCCATCTTGTTTTGCACACGGCTGCTCACGTCTCCCTCATCTGCTCAGACCCTGCGCTGGCTCCCATGGCCCTCAGGACAAAATCCAGAGGCTGGACAGCAGCCCGCAGTGACCGGCGGTTACCTCACTCCGTCTCGGGCTGCCCTCACTCGCTGCCTCCACTGCAGACCCGCTGGGCTCCTGGCCAGTCCAGGCACACTTACCTGAGGACCTGTGCACTGGCTGTTCCCACCTGGGCTCTCTCCCTGGAGATCCGCACAGCTCACTCGTTCACGCCCTTCAGGTCTTTACACAAACGCCACCTCCTCTGGGAAGCCTTCCCTGACCAGCTTACTTAATTGCAGCCCCTCTCCCCAGGCCTGTCCCCCAGGCCTCTTTGCCGCCTCCCAGCACCCGTGTATTTTACTTCTTTATCATCTGTCTTCCTCATGAGAATTAGAGGCCGGGGTTCTTATTTTTTACTATCTGAATCCCCAATCCCCAATGCCTCAAAAGGGGCCTGGCACCTCATAGGCGCTCATAGGAGTGAAAATTAAACACAAGCAATACAAATGGTCAGCGAGCTGACCTGGGCCTGCCGTGGCCCGATCCCACGTTAGGGCAGTGGGAGAGGAGGAGGGAAAACTAGCCCTGCTGAATGGCACTGCTCTGGGACAGCCCCGATCCTGGCCCCTTCACAGCCCAGCTTCTCAGAACGGTGTCACCAAGGGACAATGCTAGGCTCAGGGTTCAAATCCCAACCAGGCCACTCCTTGGCCATGTGACCCTAGGTGACTTACTGTCATCATTTATAAAGCTAGGACTAAAATAGGAGTTGGTGACAATCACAGGGTGGGTGAGCTCGTCGCCTCTTAGAGAGGACACCTAAAGGGGCAGTCCAAGGCAGCAGAGCCTCTGGGCTCCAGCACATCACCCAGGCTTGTCTCCAAGCACCAGGCCAGGGACACGGCAGGAGGAGCTAAAGTTTCCAGGGCCCAAACGGGCACGAGCCAGTCCCCATGTCCAGGGAGCCACAGCCACCCAGAGGCGACTACAGTCACCATCCTGCCATGAGGTCCAGGAGGGCTGGGCAGCTCTGGTGGGCTTCATGGAGGAGGTGTGATCCAGGACACAGGACAGGACAGCTCAGGCAGGAGAGGCAGCTCAGGCAGGGCCCACGTGCGCAAAGGGACAGCAACGGTACAGCTGAGGGCGGACTCAGCCAGGCCAGAGGTAGGGCAGGGGATGGAGGAGCTGGGGCAGGTCAGGAGAGCAGGGATGTTGGCCAGCACCACGGTGGTCACAGGCAGGGGGCCTCAGCCCCACTCAGGCACCCCAAGTCCCCCGCCAGGCCGACGTGCACCTTAAAGGCACGCCTCTTGGAAGAGGAAAGGGCCAAGATTTCATGAGCCACGTCGCACCCAGGCATACCTGCTGGCCTGGCCACGCAGGAGCCAACCGCCCAGCGCCACTGTGGGAGTCAGGCCCTGGGCCCAGAGAGGTTGTCTGAGTTGCTGGGCATCACCTGGGGGGCCGGCGGAGGAGGTCAGGCGCCAAGGCCTTCTCCCAAGCCCCACTGCCCTCTGCAGGCTGCACTCCAGCCCCAGAGAGGCCCCCCAGCGCCTGGGACAGCCTGGCTCCCCTCTGCCCAGGCAGCCCCTCTCCTCCCCCGTCACCTTCACCTTGTGTGGTCAGGTCTCTGAGGGTCTCTGAGGCCCCTCGCCCACGTGTCCCACTGCAGCCCCTTGCCTCCTCTCCTTCCAACTAAAGATGGAGTCGTAGCCACTCCCCACAGCCCCTCCTCAGCTTCCCCATTGCTCTCACTTTCCCAGACTCCGGGCCCCCAGCCCGCTCTCCTTTTTTTTTTTTTGGAGAGGTTTTTGCTATAGGGCACGTGCACTCGCCATGAAGAGAGAGAAACAGAAAGCGAGAAATCACCCTCCCCAGTTGGGATGGCCACGCTGCAATCCCTTCTCCATTCTCCTCTCAGGATCTTGGGTGCGCACGCACATGTGCCCAGTGCAAGTTTAAGCCACCGGGTCCAGGACTCAAACCATGATCGACTACGTGGGAGTCCAGCAGCATAGCCATTACACTAACTGCTGGGCCCCCTCACTCCCTTTCTTAAACGCGAGGCCTTTTGCACTGGCTGCCAAACCTGTGGCCTGGCCGACCCCCTCCTGGGCTGTCTACCCAGCCTGATGCCCTGCTCAGGCCTGGACACTGCCTGCCTCAGCCCTGAGTCAACGCCAAGCCATAGTTCCCAGCATGCTTCCAGGACAGCGTAAGGCCGTCTGTACCCCTAGCACCCCCCAGGCTGGGACTTCCAGTCAGTGGACTTCCACCACTCCCCAGCAGCCGGCCCCACCCCCTCCCCCACTGTGCTTCTGCTCCAGGTGCCCTCTGCCTAGTTCACCCACCCGGGGCCCAGGCCCAGGGTTCGAGACCAAGGACAGGCCTGCATGTAAGCACGCAGGTGCAATAAACACTTCTTAAAGAAAGGAATCAGCCAGCAGGGCGTGGTGGTGAAGGCACTAAATTCCACATGGCCGACTGCATGGTTCAAGTCCCAGACCTGACGGCTTGAAAAACACAGAGCGAGCAACAAGGGGTCCCAGTAACCGCAGTCATGCCGACTACGTCCCACGGCAGAGGGGCCGTCATGCCATGAGAGGGGAGAACTGCGGCCATCGCTGCAGGCAGTTGGGTGGCCAGCCGTACATTGGCCTGGCCAGGATTGCCACCGATGTCCAGACAGTTGCCCGGTGCCCAAGTTCCGGCTGACCCTGTATGAGCTGGAGGGCCGGCAGGTCAAGCCTTACACCCTCAGGAGCACGGTGCCAAGCCCCTGCTACGCTGAGCCAGGCACTGCTGGGTGGGACGCGGAGACCTTTAAGCCCTACACTTGCTCTCTGGACCTCATCGGCGCCCCGTGGTGACTGACAACTTTGTGGTCAGTGGCACCTGCTCCAAACGAATGTACAGAATGTGCGAGTCGCTCTGCGAGCTCAACACGGATCCAGAAACCAACTCCTGGGCTACACTGAACGCGGTAGACCGGGACAGTGTCCGGTATGGGTGTCGTCGTCCATGTCGTTGAGAAGAACAAAATCCCTACCAGGACACTGAAGGCTGGGATAGATGAGCCCTCTTCCCAGAGCCCTTGTTGGTTCGGTTTTTGTTTTTAAAATAAAATAACCTTTTGGGACCAGCAGTTAGCGTAATGGCTATGTCGCTGGACTCCCACGTAGTCAACCGTGGTTTTGAGTCCCGGAACTGACGGTTTAAATTCACGCCGGGCATGTGTGAGTGCATGCCCAAGATCCCGGCAGGAGAAAGGAGGAGAAGGGATTGTGGCGTGGTCATCCCCCAGGGGGTGATTTTTCGCTTTCTGTCTCTCTGGCAAGCACACTTGCCTATGCAAAAATTTCTCCAAAAATAAAACAAAATAACCTTTAAAAAAATAAATAATGAATGAATGAAAACACACAGAGCATGTGTGTGTGGGTGCCAAAGAGAATAGAGCGAGCGAGTGGAGAAGCTGCGTCAGACCCTGGGACTCCCACCCATCCCTGCTCACCTCCCCACCTTCCAACAGCAATTTCTCACTTTCCCTCTGTCTCCCCAGCAAGCACATGCACCCTATTGCAAAAAAAGAATCCCAGCCCTCAAGTCTGTGACACCTCCTCCAGTAAGGCTGCCTGAATCGTTCCCTTTGGAGGGATCCCTGTCCCTGGTGTCGCTGTCTCAGGGACCACAGTACACAGTTTGCTCTTGGTCTCCAGACTCCAGGACCAGGCCCCTTATGCCTGAACACCGGCCCTGCTGGTTCCTGTGTCACTCCGAAGGACAAGCCTTTGATGATCAGCCGAAGCCGGGCAAGCACTGGGTGGCCCATCTGAGAGGCCTTCCTCAGTCACTGAGGGCAGGGGGGCAGGTAAGGTGATGCCACCACAGATGGCAGGCGGCTCTGGGATGAGTCAGGAGGGAAACCCGACCCTCCCCAAGGGCAGTCAGGGACCTGAAAGCTGGTATCAGCCCAGTGGGGGTGGGGACGAGTGACAGAGTGCAGGGGCCCGGGCCGGGGTACACGCAGACATCACAGCACCTATGACAAACAGCGTTTAATGTTGTGTGCAGCTTCTCAGTGGAAGGGCCCGTGAGCAATGCACGAGCCGTACATTCTGGTGCCGGGGCAGCCGGCCCCCTGCCCTCCGAGGAGCGGGGGGGGGCACGTGCTGTGAGAACATGGTCCTGAGCGCGCGGCCGAGACGCACGCGTGTTAGTGCCCAATGGGGGGACATGACACTTACACAGGAGAGGACAAGGACCGAGCGGAGACACGAGTGTCCAGTGACAGACCAGGGAGGCCACGAGCACACGGCCGAGACGCACGCGTGTTAGTGCCCAATGGGGGGACATGACACTTACACAGGAGAGGACAAGGACCGAGCGGAGACACGAGTGTCCAGTGACAGACCAGGGAGGCCACGAGCACACGGGCGGGACACACGCACAGGCCTGGCCCTCTGGCGGGCAGCACAGGCTGCAGTCCGCGGGAACCCTCGCGTGCCGGGGTGGAGGGGCAGCACCAGAGCCTGGCCTGTGAGCACGTGGGTGTGCACTCTTGTGCACAGGTGTGAGCACGCAGACTCCAGGACAAGCGTTCAAGGGGAGGACACAGACACACGGGAGACACAGGGGACAGGCACATGGTAAGGCCTGAGCAGCAAGTCCAGGGCGGGGGCTCTGCCCGGGGGCCTCCACAGGCTCTGCGGGGCCACGAGCAGGTCCCACATCACAAAGGCCAAGGGGGATCGAGGGGAGGTGGCTCCCCGCAGAGCCCAGTCCCCACTGGCCGGCAGTGTCTGAGTCTCCGAGTCCAGGAGGAGCCTTCAGGCCTCGCTGCTGCTACTGCTGCTGCAGCCCCGGCCGCTGCCACGCTCCACCCACACGAGGCGGGGGGGCCGCCCGCAGGGGCGGATCAGCCACCACCCCATCGGCATGTCCCCATTCGTGGGCCGGCACCTGCACCCAGGCACAGGGGACCCCCCAGAGCGCCTGCTCTGAGCCACGGCACTGCCGCAGCAGCTCCGAGTCCCGCCAGCCCGGGCGACCCAGCAGGCCCCTGGCAAGAGAGGAGAGTGGGCAGCGGTTAGAGAGGGAGACCCAGACAGACAGACAGGGAGAGGGCCCCGACAGAGGAGAGGCAGAGAAAGAGGGCCAAACAGAAAGATGGCAAACGAGAGGTGCAGAGACAGAGGGAGAGACAGTCGGAGAGGGAGAGACAGCCACAGAAGCAGCAGCTCTCAGCCCGCCGTGCCCTGCCCGCGGCCCCGCCCACTCACCTGACTTCCCGCACATTCTTTTCGGTCACCTCCACGTGGATGACGATGGGGTAGATCTCATTGTGGACCAGCTCCCGCACGCCCCGCACGCCCAGTTCCAACAGGCAGTGCTTCTTCTCGGGACAGAGGCTACACTTTAATCCCGGCCCAGGGACTCTGACCCTCGCGCTCTGCCCAGACTCCCTCCCACGCCCACTCACCTGACTTCCCGCACATTCTTTTCGGTCACCTCCACGTGGATGACGATGGGGTAGATCTCATTGTGGACCAGCTCCCGCACGCCCCGCACGCCCAGTTCCAACAGGCAGTGCTTCTTCTCGGGACAGAGGCTACACTTTAATCCCGGCCCAGGGACTCTGACCCTCGCGCTCTGCCCAGACTCCCTCCCACCCATGCAAGCCCTGCCTCCCCACCCGGAGGGGCCCAGGCAGCCAGAAAGCCTGGAAGGGCAGGCAGGAGACCTGGGCTCACGGAGCGGCCTGGACCTCAGCCCCCCATCTGCAGGATGAAGCTAGC